CAGACAGACGGGCAGACCAAAAACAGACAGGCAAACAGAGAGACACACAGGGAGATAAACAGAAAGACAGGCAGTCAGGCAGATACTTTGACAGGTGGACAAACATAAAATAGGCATACAGACACACGAACAGACAGGCCGCCGACAGAAAGGTAATGGAAGGACAATAAAAAGAAGGACAGACAAACATACAGGCAGACAGTTAGACTGATAGACAGACAGGGATATACACTGTCAGGAAGACATTTTATAAGTTAGATAAACAGACAGACATAAAGGCAGTAAGACAGACTGAGTTACACGCAAATTTTCAGAAAGGTAGACAAACAGTAAGACAGTATAGACAGACAAATGCACAGGCAGATGGTTCAGGTAGACATACAATAAAATACATACAGACATACATACAGAGGGACAGACAGTTATACAGGCAGACTTAGAGACAGACAAGAAAATAGTCAGAAAGGCAAACAGAAGACAGACGAAAACATTTTGAAAGTGGGAGGGTGATTATCTCATTCAAGCTTGTCATATGAGGATTGTCATCCAAAAATACTTGAAAGACAAGTAGATAAACAGACAGACAGGCAGGCATACAATAATACCGTCAAACAGACAGACTTACAGGCAGGCCTATAGCCAGAAAGACAGACAGATAGAAACAGAGAAAGACAGACTGACAGATAAATATATACGCATACCAACAGTCGGACATATAACCAGACCGGGATACAAAGACAGACGGAAAGACAAAGAGACAAATAGACACCGGTTTAGAGGGACAGACAGATAAGACAAACAGACACAGGGCAGACAGATAGACCGTACCCCTGCAACATAATTTCTTGGAGGAGGACGAACGTGGAAGAAGAGGAAGTTTCCGTCGGTCATAACCTCGGCTGAACCCGTTCCTGCACATCACGAGGAGCAAACTTCCCCAGCGGCAATAGCCCTCAACAGCCCCGCAATCCCGCCACCTCCGGAGTACGCCAGTGAGTCTTTTTGTCGGGTATGCGGATTTAGATAAGCCGCCCGTTTCTCGCCCCTCCGTCCCGTAGCAAAAACTAGGTCGTGGGAATCCCGAGAAGTGAGGGACCTACTGTAGTCGAGACTCTAAATTAATGCCATGCACGTCGTTCCTTGTCCCTTGGAGCTCCTCAGGATTAAATGACCTTTAAAGGTGCAGTAGTCGTAATCCCGCCCGCGCGGAGTTTAGATTCCGCGGCGACAAGAGCGCCTTAACCTTTCCCGGCGCTACCACTGTGACCCCAAACCTCAATTATCAGCACTGTAGTACGTTTGAGAGAACCCTTATTTAAAGAAGCATCCTATTGGATACCCGTAAGATGGTGTGATTGCTATACGTGTTGGGGGAGATGGGCCGGTCGGAGACCGCCTGGAAGGAATTCCGGCCAAAGATGAAGGGTGGTGCCTCCCTCGCATTACTTGAGGCACCACAGGAAGGGTGGGTACGCTGTGGCAACTTCATCTAATGCCACTTTTCCGTCATATCGTCTACGAGTTATAAGTTTGCCTTGTTTTGCGTATTGCGTTGGAGTGTGCAGTGAGACGTCGATTAATATAGATGATTAGTGTTGCGGAACTGTAGGACAATAGGAAAACTCCACCCTGGGGATTCTGTGGCTAGCCGGAGCTGTCCCGAAAGGATACTATATCTTAGCAGTTCAGTAACATTATGACGCCCAAATCAAACAAAATAATAATAAAAACTGCCGGGTCGACAGCGTCTTACAATTTTCACCTTTTTTCGTTCCGCTCAGCCTTTATGACCGGTGACTTGCAAGGCAACAAAAAGTTGCATGCAACTGCCTCGGAAGTGCTGGGCTGGCGGGGAAGTTAAGAGGGTTTTGAGAAGGACAGGAAGCTTGATCAGTTTTGAGACTAATTGCTCCTGGTCACAGATCGCAGATGCAGCGGTGACCTGGGGGTGACATCTTGGCCCGGAAGAGGGAAGATCTGCATCCTCAGATAGCGAAAACTGTGATAAAATCTGTGATTAAAAAACTGCGATAAATGAGGTAGGATTTAGTTTGTTATTTATTTTATTTATTTAGTTGTTTGGTAGAGAGTTTTGTTGTAATAGTATAAGTTGATCCTTTGTTTTGGTTTCGTGGGTATGTTTGATTTGTCATCTCGGTGTTAAAACTTAAATGCTCGATCACCTCGACCTGCGAATCAAAATATACGCGCGAAAACAAAGCATAAGAGACTCGACCAGCAGCCGATGTCCTTAGTTTTTTTTTAGGTGTAAGGTTATTTTTTCTGTAAAACATGGCAAAAGATAACGACGTAGTGAAGAAGCACGGGTATTGGCTTCGATCTGCGTATCCTTTAGACGGGGACGACGAAGCACTATGGTCCTTGGAGGACGAGGGCGCTGCCGGCGATGGACCACCGCGTATATCGATGGGGTTGCATAGGACTCCGCAAGGCCGTCTGTGAGAGCCGCCGGAACAAGAGTTCCGAATGAACCAGGAACCTACCCCGAAGACGGACTTCGGAGCGGTTGGCTCGGCGGCAAACCGACTACTGCAGATGGAATACCGCGAGGACAGGTTCCGTGCTCCAAAAGTGGATTCGGCTGTTAACGTCGCCAGGCAGCGGAGACCCACCGTAGGGCCCAGGAATCCGGCATCAGCGAGGCTGTGCACGACGAGATCCGGGAGGGTTTCTTGGAAATTATGAAGCTGATGAACAAGGTCTTTCGGCCCGCTGGTCAACGGCCCGGCTTCCACAGGGCCACTCTCCGGATCAGGGTCAGCAGCGGAGGGAGACGCCAGCATCGCAGTTTCCAGAACAGGATCTTCGAAGAGCGGTTCTCAAGGACCATCGGTCGGCAACCGCCGGCGAACAAAGGCCACCACCGATAACCATACCACCAAAGCCGCATAGGAGGAGGTGGGATTCTCCTGGCTTCGACAGCAGCTGTCCAGGATTCGGTCCTTGGAGAAACACCGCCGGTCCGTAGGGTCGGCATATCGAGGACCTGCGTCACTGACCATGCCAGTTCGAAGTAGCTCATGTCCATGAAAGATCTGTCGGGACGGTTGGCGAGGTGGTAACTACAGCTTCATGGATTCCACTTCAACATCGAGCACAGGAAAAGAAGTGAGAACGGAGTGGCAGACACCCTTTCACAGTGTTTGGAGAAGCTAGTGTTGAATCCGACGGAGTTTTTGGGTTTCGAAACCACCAAGTTTGCTGGAGAAGATTACCTCGGATTAGTGAAGGATGTGAACGGTAATTGGGAACACTTACCGGTCTTAAAGATCGAGGATGGTCTCATCTTGAAAAGAGTTTCTCCAGCGAATCCGGACGATGAGGTGGAAGGTTCTGAGTGGAGAGGAAACCACAGAGACCGACTACTGCAGATAGAATACCGCGAGGACATTCCGTGCTTCAAAAATGGATTCGGCTGCCCAGTCGGCCGTTAACGTCGCCTTGGCCCAGGCAGCGGAGACCCACCGTAGGGCCCAGGAATCCGGCATCAGCGAGGCACGACGAAATTATGAAGCTGATGAACAAGGTGTTTCGGCCCGCTCTCCGGATCAGGGTCAGCATCGGAGGGAGACGCCAGCATCGCAGTTTCCAGAACAGGATCTTCGAAGAGCGGTTCTCAAGGACCATCGGTCGGCAACCGCCGGCGAACAAAGGCCACCACCGCTAACCATACCACCAAAGCCGCCTAGGAGGAGGTGGGATTCTCCTGGCTTCGACAGCAGCTGTCCAGGATTCGGTCCTTGGAGAAACACCGCCGGTCCGTAGGGTCGGCATATCGAGGACCGCCGGACGGTCGACTTCCGAGAGGGAACGCGTCTGTATGGCAACGTAGGACAGGAGCATGGCAGCCAGAAGGTCCGGATAGATCGGTGGGGAGTATACTTCGACGGCGATGACGATCGCAACTCCGCGGAGGACTTCTTGTTTCGGGTAGATCAGGATCTTACCATATGAAAAGAGAATGCGATATTAAAAGGAGGCCAGGAATCGGATCTTTTCCGAGCACCAATTGAGCGGGATGAGATAAGTGTCTCGGAAAGTCCAGAAAGCCAGGAGTCGGTTCAAGAAGAGAAGAGCGAGGAGGCGAGACCGCTGACAGGATTGTTGGTCATGGGAGCAAGTGTCAGCCTGTTGGAAAAAGGTGGAAGAGAGCTCGTGGAGGTGTTGGATATGCCAGTCCAGAAATATTTATCCGTGGTCCGAACGCCTTCTGGAGAGGACCGGTCGATTATAGGACGCGTCGAGCTACCTGTGGAGTACAGGGGACAGATTAAGCGGATACTTTTCTATTTATGCCCTTAACTGGAGCAGGAGGCCTATTTTGGAGTGGACTTCTGGCAGGGGTTTGGCTTGGCTCCGACGAAAGAAGGCAGACGAAATCCACGCTAGGGACATGGAGCACTACGCCGAACAGGAAGATGACCACGAGGAAAAACCGGATCCCGAATCTTGGACCTTATCCGAGGCCGACGCACGACAGCTCCCGGATATGCAGGAGGTGTTTCTCTCGTTCGAGAAGGATGGCCTGGGAACGACCAAGCTGAAAACACACACAATCGAGCTGATTGAGGGAGCCAAGGTTATCAAAGATCGACCGTATCCCATGTCACCCGCGAAGCAGAAGGTAGTCGAAGATGAGGTGGACATGATGCTTGCGCTCGGAGTCAACGAGGAGAGCAAGAGCCCGTGGAGCAACCGGACGACGGTTGTGTCGAAACCTGGAAAGGATCGGTTCTGCTTAGACGCCCGCAAGTTAAATTATCTGACCATCAAAGACGTTTACCCGCTGCCTAGTATCAACGGCATCCTGTCTAGAATTGATCAACTTTTTACATTTCCAGCTTGGATTTGAAGTTCGCATTCTGGCAGATCGAGTTGAACCCAAAAAGCAATGAACTAACAGCCCTTACAGTTCCTGGTCGGCCTCTCTACCAGTTCCGGGGGGTCTGTTGATACTCGCTCCTCCGGCAAGTCGCAGAATGCCTGAAAGCAGCGGGTTTAACGATCGGAATGCGTAAGTCCAAGTTTTGTTTTAAATCATTGACTTACTTGGGGTTTATCGTTTGTGGAGGTCGTTTACGGATGGATCCAGGAGGAGTTGCCGCAATCAGGAGGATCCTGGAGCCCAGATCAATGAAGGAGGTGAGACCGTTGGCCGCCCAGCTCACCGAATCGCTGGAAAAGCGGGAAACTCGAAGTGTTCATTGAGTCCAGACGCCAAGCTAGCCGTAGAGTCCTTGAAGATGGCATTGACGACTGCACCAGTCCTGGTGCATGCGGACTTCAAGAGGCGTTTTTTTATTCAGTGTGATGCGTCACACGTCAGAGTCGGAGCGGTGCTTTTTCAGCGAGACGACGACGGACAAGAGCAGCCAATTGCCTTTTTCTCGGCCAAGATGAATAACCATCAGGTTAACTACACCGTAACCGAGAAAGAGTGCGTTGCAACGCTCATGGCCATCCGCAAGTTCAGGCCATACATCGAAGGGATACCATTCACCTACGTCACTGACCATGCCAGTTCGAAGTAGCTCATGTCCATGAAAGATCTGTCGGGACGGTTGGCGAGGTGGTATTTACAGCTTCATGGATTCCACTTCAACATCGAGCACAGGAAAAGAAGTGAGAACGGAGTGGCAGACACCCTTTCACAGTGTGTGGAGGTGCTAGTGTTGGATCCGACGGAGTTGTTGGGTTTCGAAACCACCAAGTTTGCTAAAGAAGATTACCTCGGATTAGTGAAGGATGTGAACGGTAATTTGGAACACTTACCGGACTTAAAGATCGAGGATGGTCTCATCTTCAAGAGAGTTTCTCAAGCGAATCCGGTTGATGAGGTGGAAGGTTCCGAGGGGAAAGGAAACCACAGAGTCTGACCCACAGCATAATCGAGCGTGCGCATGCGGACCCAATAGCAGCTCATGACGGAATGGGAAAGACTCTGGAAATCCTCCGACGGCAGTTCTACTGGCCTGGCATGGTTCTCTAAGTCCGCGAGTTAGTACGTGGGATGTCTGCAAGGAGACGAAGGCGCCAAATTTCCGAATGCAGGTCGGAAAAGGTTGGCAGGTTGAAAAAAGGGTCCAGACGGAACAGACATTCCAGAAGCTGCATATCAAAGAAGGGTAATGCCTAGTTATTCATCGTGGTGGACCATTTCTCAAAATTCGTATTAATGAAGGCCATGAAGGAAGCTACTATCTCGAACGTCGAGACAATTCTCGGCAGTTCACGTCAAAGGTCTTCCAAGAGGCGATGGACAGTTTTGGGATATCACACCTAAAGACTCCGGTATACTCACCCGAGAGCAACGCACCAGAACGAGTCAATCGAAGCGTGTTGTCAGCAATCCGGAGCTTTTTGGATAATGATCATCGGGACTGGGACGTGTACCTTCCGGAGATTGAGGTAGCTCTCCGAAACGCGAACCACTCGGCGACAGGAGAAGCACCGTTTTTTACTGTATTCAGCATCACATGTTCCTGATCGGCGCCAACTATAGGTAAGCGCGGAAGCTAAAGTCCTTGTGTGACCATGAAATGGCTGGGTTGGAGACGGCAGATAAACTCCGAGTGATCCAAAAAAAGGGTTCGAAAGAATCCGGAGACAGCATACGAGCGAAGCCGCCAGCGTTATGACCAACGGGCTCGAAACTTCTTGGCCAAGCCAGGTCAGGAAGTGTATCGCCACAACTTTGTCCTCAGTGACTTTGGAAAGTATTTCTTTCTTTGGAAGGAGTGGAAGTTTCCGTCGGTCATAACCTCGGCAGAAACCGTTCCTGCACATCACGAGGAGCAAACTTCCCCAGCGGCAATAGCCCTCAACAGCCCCGCAATCCCGCCACCTCCGGAGTACGCTGATGAGTCTGTTCCAAGGGGGGCTCCGTGGCCACATATATCCTCCCTTGAATCCACGCGCCGTCGCTCCACGCTCCAGTCCAGAGACGACCACCCGGCACTTGTTTCGAAGTTGGCCAGAACCAGATTTTTTTTCTCGACACTAACCGCCATCGGGCGGGCTTAGGCAGACCTGGAGACCATTAATCAAAACCTAGAATTATATTAGTATTATATTGTATGTCAAACCTGTAACATTTGTCGGGCATGCGGATTTAGATAAGCTGTTCTTTTCTCGCCCCTCCGTCCCATAGCAAAAACTAGGTCGAGGGAATCCCGAGAAGTGAGGGACCCACCTTAGTCGAGACACTAAAGTAATGCCATGCACGTCGTTCCTTATCCCTTGGAGCTCCTCAGGATTAGGTGACCTTTAAAGGTGCAGTAGTCGTAATCCCGCCCACGTGGAGTTTAGTTTCCGTGGCGACTAGAGCGCCCTGACCTTTCCCGTAACAACAATGCCACGTTTCCGTCATATAGTCTACGAGTTATAAGTTTGCCTTGTTTTGCGTATTGTGTTAGTATGTGCGGTGAGACGTCGATGAATATCGATGATTAGTCTTGGGGAATTGTGGGAAAATGGGGACACTCCGCCCAAGGGATTCTGGGTCTAGCCGGAGTTGTCCCGAAAAGATACTATATCTTAGCAGTTCCGAAAAAATTAAAGTCTAACTTTCAAGTACTCACCGTATTTTGAAAAAAACCGTATCGGCAATGCAATCCTTATCCTGGTTAGAGTAGGAGGAAGACTGGATAATTCTGATCTGCCATACAGCGCTATGCATGCAGCCATTTTGCCAAAGAAGCATCGCTATACGTCGCATTCATACACCGTTGCAACCTACATGCCGGACGGAAAGTATTGATTTTCTTACTTTGGGAAATGTTTTGGTCATCAGCAACAGACCGTTAGTGTGTCAAATGGCACGGGAATGCACTCACTGCTTCCAATACAAGCCTCGCCTTATGTCCCAGATTATGGGAAAACTACCTCTAGATCGACTTGTTGGCGAACGCCCATTCTTGGTGACAGGATTCCTGCGGGCCCTTCCTGACCTGGTACAAAATTCGAAGCAAGTTCCCGTACAAAACTTACGCTTCGATATTTGTTTGCTTTGCAACCAAGGCTACCCACATCGAACTAGTTTCCGAGCTTACAACTAATGCTTTCTTATCTTGCGTTCGAAGGTTTATTGCCCAGCGTGGATCTACTGCGATAACGCAAAAAACTTCTTTGGAGCTGTCAATGAAATGAAGGAGTTCCAAAGTTCATTACTGGAGTCTGGATCCACCAGACTTCTAAAGTCGTATAGCGCTCGCAAGGGATTCTCATGTTGCTTCATCCCTCCCAGAGCCCCATATTTAGGCGGCCTCTGGGAGGCGGTTGTCAAATCAGCTAAAACGCTCCTACTTAAAAACATCGCAGAAGGTAATTTTACATACGAAGAGGTCTTGACCGTCCTTACAGAAGTAGAAGCCATTTTGAATTCACGACAAAAATGATAAAGATACTTTGTCGCCGGCCCATTTCCTAATTGATTCACCGTTTTTGTCAGCACCAGATGAATCTATCCCTATTGTCAGAGGAAGCATGTTGAGTAACTGATAGTGACGTCACTGCCCATGTGAGGCCTTATAACCTTAATTTCTTCATAAATAGCGAAATAATATTCCGATTTCAAAAATCGATAGATATTAACAAAAATAAGTTATACAAGGTCAAACGAAGGCATTCATAATAATATTATAGACGCCACAGTTTTTTTCGGTTTGTGGGGGTTAGAGTGGGCGTGGCGGGATAAAAACTCGTGGCAAGTTGCAGTGCCATCTCTTTAATATGTGTTTTTAAGAGCCTAACTGCTGCTGCGTATGGACCTCAGGAATCTTCATGGTTAATCTCATCTTTGTATCTGTTATAGTTCCTGAGATCTCAGCGTTCATACGGACAGACGGACATGGCTCAATCGTCTTCGCTATTCATCATGATCAAGCATATATATACTTTATAGGGTCGGATATACTTCCTTCTACCTTCTACCTTCAACGAATTATATTTCCCTACGAGTAACGGATATAAAAAAAACTAGAAATACTGATAATGATAACAGTAAACTCAAACTTAAAACTAGCAAATTACGGTACTTATAATAGACTCGGTTTTCAGAACAGAAAGAAAAAAAACTTATTTTTGATGCGTTTGTCATGCAACATGGAAAATGCACTGCCTATAATGGGGCTTTTACAACTCGAGTCTTTAGGAATTTTTTTGCGAACTTGCCGTTTAAAGACTTTCCAAAGTCACTGAGGACAAAGTTGCGGCGATACACTTCCTGACCTGGCTTGGCCAAGAAGTTTCGAGCCCGTTGGTCATAACGCTGGCGGCTTCGCTGGCATGCAGCCATTTTGCCAAAGAAGCATCGCTTTACACGGCTATACGTCGCATTCATACACCGTTGCCGGACGGAAAGTATTGACCTTGCGTATGGACCTCAGGAATCTTCATGGTTAATCTCATCTCTGTATCTGTTATAGTTCCTGAGATCTCAGCGTTCATACGGACAGACGGAAATGGCTCAATCGTCTTCGCTATTCATCCTGATCAAGCATATATATACTTTATAGGGTCGGATATACTTCCTTCTACCTTCTACCTTCAACGAATTATATTTCCCTACGAGTACGTCCATGCACGTCCTTCCTTGTCCCTTGGAGCTCTCAGGATTAGGTGACCTTTAAAGGTGCAGTAGTCGAAATCCCACCCACATGAAGTTAAGTTTCCACGGCGACTAGAGCGCCCTGACCTTTCCCGTAACAACAATGCCACGTTTCCGTCATATAGTCTACGAGTTATAAGTTTGCCTTGTTTTGCGTATTGTGTTAGTGTGTGCGGTGAGACGTCGATGAATATCGATGATTAGTCTTGGGGAATTGTGGGAAAATGGGGACACTCCGCCCAGGGGATTCTGGGTCTAGCCGGAGTCGTCCCGAAAAGATACTATATCTTAGCAGTTCCGTAAAAATTAAAGTCTAACTTTCAAGTACTCACCGTATTTTGAAAAAAACCGTATCGGCAATGCAATCCTTATCCTGGTTAGAGTAGGAGGAAGACTGGATAATTCTGATCTGCCATACAGCGCTAAGCATGCAGCCATTTTGCCAAAGAAGCATCGCTTTACACGGCTATACGTCGCATTCATACACCGTTGCAACCTACATGCCGGACGGAAAGTATTGATTTTCTTACTTCGGGCAATGTTTTGGTCATCAGCAACAGACCGTTAGTGTGTCAAGTGGCACGGGAATGCACTCACTGCTTCCAATACAAGCCTCGCCTTATGTCCCAGATTATGGGAAAACTACCTCTAGATCGACTTATTGGCGAACGCCCATTCTTGGTGACAGGATTCCTGCGGGCCCTTCCTGACCTGGTACAAAATTCGAAGCAAGTTCCCGTACAAAACTTACGCTTCGATATTTGTTTGCTTTGCAACCAAGGCTACCCACATCGAACTAGTTTCCGAGCTTACAACTAATGCTTTCTTATCTTGCGTTCGAAGGTTTATTGCCCAGCGTGGATCTACTGCGATAACGAAAAAAACTTCTTTGGAGCTGTCAATGAAATGAAGGAGTTCCAAAGTTCATTACTGGAGTCTGGATCCACCAGACTTCTAAAGTCGTATAGCGCTCGCAAGGGATTCTCATGTTGCTTCATCCCTCCCAGAGCCCCATATTTAGGCGGCCTCTGGGAGGCGGTTGTCAAATCAGCTAAAACGCTCCTACTTAAAAACATCGCAGAAGGTAATTTTACATACGAAGAGGTCTTGACCGTCCTTCCAGGTCATGCCCGGATATCTTTGGCGTTAGCATTGTTAGGATTTGTTGCCGACGGCTTTCACAAGTCGAGCCTGAATGATTTTTCTTGCGAACATGGCGTTGAAGGACTTGCCAAATACACTGAGGACAAAGTTGCGGCGATACACCTCCTGACCTGGCTTGGCCAAGAAGTTTCGAGCCCGTTGGTCATAACGCTGGCGGCTTCGCTCGTATGATGTCTCCAGATTCTTTCGGACCTTTTTTTGGATCACCCGGAGTTTATCTGCGTCTCCATCCCAGCCATTTCGTGGTCACACAAGGACTTTAGCTTCCTCGCTTACCTATAGTTGGCGCCGATCAGGAACATGTGATGCTGAATACAGTAAAAAACGGTGCTTCTCCTGTAGCCGAGTGGTTCGCGTTTCGGAGTGCTACCTCAATCTCCGGAAGGTACACGTCCCAGTCCCGATGATCATTATCCAAAAAGCTCCGGATTGCTGACAACACGCTTCGATTGACTCGTTCTGGTGCGTTGCTCTGGGGTGAGTATACCGGAGTCTTTAGGTGTGATATCCCAAAACTGTCCATCGCCTCTTGGAAGACCTTTGACGTGAACTGCCGAGAATTGTCTCGACGTTCGAGATAGTAGCTTCCTTCATGGCCTTCATTAATACGAATTTTGAGAAATGGCCCACCACGATGAATAACTAGGCATGACCCTTCTTTGACCAAAGATATTTTTCAAGAAATCGATATGCAGCTTCTGGAATGTCTGTTCCGTCTGGACCCTTTTTTCAACCTGCCAACCTTTTCCGACCTGCATTCGGAAATTTGGCGCCTTCGTCTCCTTGCAGACATCGCACGTACTAACTCGCGGACTTAGAGAACCATGCCAGGCCAGTAGAACTGCCGTCGGAGGATTTCCAGAGTCTTTCCCATTCCGTCATGAGCTGCTATTGGGTCCGCATGCGCACGCTCGATTATGCTGTGGGTCAGACTCTGTGGTTTCCTTTCCACTCAGAACCTTCCACCTCATCGTCCGGATTCGCTGGAGAAACTCTTTTCAAGATGAGACCATCCTCGATCTTTAAGACCGGTAAGTGTTCCCAATTACCGTTCACATCCTTCACTAATCCGAGGTAATCTTCTCCAGCAAACTTGGTGGTTTCGAAACCCAAAAACTCCGTCGGATTCAACACTAGCTTCTCCAAACACTGTGAAAGGGTGTCTGCCACTCCGTTCTCACTTCTTTTCCTGTGCTCGATGTTGAAGTGGAATCCTTGAAGCTGTAGCCACCTCGCCAACCGTCCCGACAGATCTTTCATGGACATGAGCTACTTCGAACTGGCATGGTCAGTGACGCAGGTGAATGGTATCCCTTCGACGTATGGCCTGAACTTGCGGATGGCCATGAGCGTTGCAACGCACTCTTTCTCGGTTACGGTGTAGTTAACCTGATGGTTATTCATCTTGGCCGAGAAAAAGGCAATTGGCTGCTCTTGTCCGTCGTCGTCTCGCTGAAAAAGCACCGCTCCGACTCCGACGTGTGACGCATCACACTGAATGAAGAAATGCTTCTTGAAGTCCGCATGCACCAGGACTGGTGCAGTCGTCAATGCCATCTTCAAGGACTCTACAGCTAGCTTGGCTTCTGGACTCAATGAAAACTTCGAGTTTCCCGCTTTTTCAGCGATTCGGCGAGCGGGGCGGCCAACGTCGCAAGGTTCTTTATGAACCGGCGGTACCATCCAGCAGTCCCAAGAAACGCTCTCACCTCCTTCATTGATCTGGACTCCGGCATCCTCCTGATTGCGGCTACTCCTCCTGGATCCATCCGTAAACGACCTTCACAAACGATAAACCCCATGTAAGTCAATGATTTAAAACAAAACTTGGACTTACGCATTCCGATCCTTAAACCCGCTGCTTTCAGGCATTCTGCGACTTGCCGGACGACCGAGTATCAACAGATCATCTAAGTAGACAAAGACGTTTGAAAGGGATCACTCGGTCCATTAGCCTCACCAACCGCTGGGCCGCGTTGCAAAGTCCGAATGGCATCACCCGGAACTGGTAAAGAGGCCGACCAGGAACTGGTAGGGCTGTCAGTTCATTGCTTTTTGGGTTCAACTCGATCTGCCAGAATGCGAACTTCAAATCCAACCTGGAAATGTAAAAAGTTGATCAATTCTAGACAGGATGCCGTCGATACTAGGCAGCGGGTAAACGTCTTTGATGGTCAGATAATTTAACTTGCGGGCGTCTAAGCAGAACCGATCCTTTCCAGCTTTCGACACAACCGTAGTCCGGTTGCTCCACGGGCTCTTGCTCTCCTCGTTGACTCCGAGCGCAAGCATCATGTCCACCTCATCTTCGACTACCTTCTGCTTCGCGGGTGACATGGGTTACTGTCCATCCTTGATAACCTTGGCTCCCTCAATCAGCTCGATTGTGTGTGTTTCCAGCTTGGTCGTTCCCAGGCCATCCTTCTCGAACGAGAGAAACACCTCCTGGATATCCGCGAGCTGTCGTGCGTCGGCCTCGGATAAGGTCCAGGATTCGGGATCCGGTTTTTCCTCGTGGTCATCTTCCTATTCGGCGTAGTGCTGGTGGCCTTTGTTCGTCGGCGGTTGCCGACCGATGGTCCTTGAGAACCGCTCTTCGAAGATCCTGTTCTGGAAACTGCGATGCTGGCGTCTCCCTCCGCTGCTGACCCTGATCCGGAGAGTGGCCCTGTGGAAGCCGGGCCGTTGACCAGCGGGCCGAAAGACCTTGTTCATCAGCTTCATAATTTCCAAGAAACCCTCCCGGATCTCGTTGTGCACAGCCTCGCTGATGCCGGATTCCTGGGCCCTACGGTGGGTCTCCGCTGCCTGGCGACGTTAACAGCCGAATCCACTTTTGGAGCACGGAACCTGTCCTCGCGATTCCATCTGCAGTAGTCGGTTTGCCGCCGAGCCAACCGCTCCGAAGTCCGTCTTCGGGGTAGGTTCCTGGTTCATTCGGAACTCTTGTTCCGGCGGCTCTCACAGACGGCCTTGCGGAGTCCTATGCAACCCCATCGATATACGCGGTGGTCCATCGCCGGCAGCGCCCTCGTCCTCCAAGGACCATAGTGCTTCGTCGTCCCCGTCTAAAGGATACGCAGATCGAAGCCAATACCCGTGCTTCTTCACTACGTCGTTACCTTTTGCCATGTTTTACAGAAAAAACAACCTAACGCCTAAAAAAACTAACTGAACAGGTCAAAATGCCTACGACCAAAACAATAATAAATAAATAACGAAGAATAATATATATCACCAGCACGAGATGTATGAACACTAATATAGATAAATATGTATTGAAACAAATAGTAATATAAGTAAATAAATGCGTATGGAAATAAATAATAATACAAATAAATAACTGAATATTAAATAAAAAATAAATAAATATCTCAACAAATAAAAAAATATATCACCCCAAATCTGGTATCTTCTGCCCTTACTAATTCTTTCTCTTCATTTTCAGGTTTAAATCAGGGGAGCTGGAACCGGTCACCAGCCGGTGGACTCCGAGCCGGAAACTTCATATGTCCTCCCACACCGCTCGTCAACTAGACTAGCTATCAACCTTTTATGTTGATAGCCGTCAGCTAAGGACATCGGCTGCTGGTCGAGTCTCTTATGCTTTGTTTTCGCGCGTATATTTTGATTCGCAGGTAGAGGTGATCGTGTAGCGTGTGTTCCTCACGGGTCACGATCACACATTTAAGTTTTAACACCGAGATGACAAATCAAACATACCCACGAAACCAAAACAAAGGATCAACTTCTACTATTACAACAAAAATTTCTAGCAAACAATTAAATAAATAAAATAAATAACAAACTAAATCCTACCTAATTTATCGCAGTTTTTTAATCACAGGTTTTATCACAGTTTTCGCTATCTGAGGATGCAGATCTTCCCCCTTCCGGGCCAAGATGTCACCCCCAAGTCACCGCTGCATCTGCGATCTGAGACCAGGAGCAATTACCCTCAAAACTGGGCAAGCTTCCTGTCCTTCTCAAAACCCTATCTTACCCTTTTAATTTCCCTGCCAGCCCAGCACTTCCGAGGCAGTTGCATGCAACTTTTTGTTGCCTTGCAAGTCACCGGTCATAAAGGCTGAGCGAAAAGAAAAAAGGTGAAAATTGTAAGACGCTGTCGACCCGGCAGTTTTTATTATTATTTTGTTTGATTTGGGCGCCATAATGTTACGGAACTGCTAAGATATAGTATCCTTTCGGGACAGCTCCGGCTAGCCACAGAATCCCCAGGGTGGAGTTTCCCTATTGTCCTACAGTTCCCCAACAATAATCATCGATATTAATCGACGTCTCACTGCACACTCTAACGCAATACGCAAAACAAGGCAAAGTTATAACTCGTAGACGATATGACGGAAAAGTGGCATGGAAGTTTGCTCCTCGTGATGTGCAGGAACGGGTTCTGCAGAGGTTATGACCGACGGAAACTTCCACTCCTTCCACGTTCGTCCTCCTCTAAGAAATTATGTTCCCGGGGCCCTTCCGAAGAGTCGCCTGGCCCTCTGAGGATCCACACCGTGAATAAGAAAAGGTTTTATATTGGTGACACTAACTCACTTTATCAACGTCTATGTCGAGAGCGCGATTTCACGTGGGATCGTCCAGATCGGCAAAATGGCAGCTACTGACTATTGGTTTGGCCTACATGACGTGGACCGCCATTTCCTATCTTCCTTTCCAATATGGGTCATTGGACGATCCAGACCCGGCTAAGAAAATCACCGTGGCGAACCGGGGTTCTTTTAAATAGCTAGATTATTCAATTACCAACAAGAGAAGGCGCCAGCGCTTTTGCCTGCCTAACCTATCGATAACTCCCATCTACTTAAAGCCGGTTCCAACTTGAAATGCAACATAATGGCTTCTCCTTCAATAATAAATTAATCTCCGTGCTATATACCGTTTGCTAAATTTGTGCTACCATTCTCCAAAACGTTTGATTTAGTTCGATCGCTGACACGTGTACTATATCTTGAATAGATGAATATCAATGTGCAGGGACCCTTTTACATACTCGAAAGATGAAGGACAGCGTACGCAGGATACGAAAATATGTCGATGACCGCTCGATAAGATCATCAATAATGCTGGGTTTTACAATATCACTCGAAGGGTTGACTATCATAGATTTCGATTGCATCTCGATTGATGACTGAAGGGGGGATTTACTGGATTAGGCAGACAAGACCATTCACTGTCCAACCTTTTTAGGAAGTTGGGTCCAGTAAACCACACGTTGAGCTCAAGATTTTTTACCGAGCATCCTCTGGATACGATGTCCGCAGGATTGATATTGCTGAATGATACGTAGCGCCATTCAACATGACTAAAGCTCAGATATACTGTGAGATTCAAAAGTTGGCAATTTCAATGAATGTTTTCTAAGCCACTGTAGAACCGTCTTCGCATCATCTTGTGTTTAAGTATTTTATATGTTCTATTAAGTTGGGATCGACAAGGATTGAATTGAAGCGACTCTTGACTGTGCAACTAATAAGCTGACTTTTATGACACCATTGATTGCTGCGAACGTAAAGGCAACAGCCGTATCCACGTTTGCAGGCGTCCGCAAATTCCTGAAGCCCGCTTTGATGTTGCTGTGAGGTTGATACATATTGTGGAAGTTTCACTGTGGATAAGTTGTGAAAGTCATTTTTTAAGTTGTCCCAGACGATACCATAATCGTTGGGGATTGGCTCATCCCAAGAAAGTTTTCGGATAACTAAATATTGAATGAACGTTTTGCAATTCATGAGAACGGGAGGGATAAGTCCAATGTTCGTTATACTTCGAATGTTCGTTATACTTCTGATAGGATCTTCCGCCTAGTAAAAGTCGAAAAAAAACTCAAATTTGAACTGAAAAATTAATACTTTATCTGGTGGCTTCCATGCTAATCCAAGCATTTTCGTTGACTTAAATTCCTCCAGCTGCATTGAAATGTTGCTTTCTTATGAATTACCTAGTGTGGGTGAATTACTGTTGAATTTGTTCATCGTCAATCCAGCCTGACTTGGCATGTTTGAGACATTCTTTTTCTTTTGTAGTGCAGTGTTTAGATCGCCTGTGCCTCTTAGAAGATTAATAAAGAAATGGGGCTCTCTCTTGTCAACGTCGTTCACGAGTGACTTGTGGCCTGTTGTGATGTATTCGCGCATGAATTGAACATATGATTCCTTTATGGACGGATTAGTATTTAGCCTACGTTCGAGTAGCGAAAAACGTTTGGCGGCGCTGACGTTTGTGGTGATTCCTTTGAATGGAAGATGAACTGTAATGCGATTGTCGGATCCAACAGCAACTGTGTTCTCTAGATGTTGTTCACAGAGCTGTTCTTCTTCGGTAAGAGTTTGTCGAGGCGTTTGATACTCTTCACTCTCCAATTTCCGATTTAATAACTGGCGTGGGCATGTTCTTACCCATTGTGCACATTCTAACTCGGATGGCTTTGAAGAATCCTTCAATTTCGACCAGGATGTCGTTTTTGCTGGGCTGATAGAATGTTGGATCAGCTAGTACGATCTTTTCTGGCATATTCCATTCGGTAATGTCAACCCCCTCGCCAGGCTATTGACCACAAATGGATGCGATCACCGCGAAAATGGAGGTTCATTGAAAATCCAAAACTCGTGATTTTAGAGTTGTATGTAAGTTGTAATTGAATTGTCTTGAGGTGTCAGAAATCCATTGATAGCTTGGCTTCGCAGTCTATTCCCTGATCAACTTAAGTTCCGAACCTAAATCTAATAACGCTCTGACCATCTGAAACTGTCCGTTTCGATCCTTGATGTAGAATAACGCTGTTGATATTAGACTTCTCTTTGCGGTACGTGCTAGAAGAAAAATCTGTATTGCTCTTGGCTTCTCAGCTGCGGCTTGACCTTGACGTGAAACTGTTGATCGACCCTCAATGGGTGCTATTTGGTTACAATGTATGATTTCCGTAAGCAGTTGAAACACAGAGGTGTATTTTTTACGAAATCCTTTCGTTGAGCTAAGTTTAATTTAGCAATATGATGAGTGGCTGACTCACAGTAAACGCAGTTAACTGGTTTAGTGACAAATATCTTCGACAATAAACTTGGCGATGCTTTCGGCTTCTGACACCAATCACCTTGGCGGTTCTAGGAACTGGCATCAGTGTTTAAGTGTTTTACAAAATTTGTCCCAATTGGGTAGCTCGTCGAAAGATTGTTTCTCATCGTAGCTGAGTCGAGTATATGTGTCCATCTTTGAAAGAACCAGGCTTATCAATATCGCATTCATAATATCATCCACGCAGCCTAAAGATAAAAGGGATACTGGGATAGCTGACGAAGTATCATTTA